CACCGCACTCCCCAGCGAGGGGCTGCACGGGGTTTTCCTTCCCTGGTCCTGCACCGGGCCCAGCAAAGACCCTGCAAAAGCAAATGGGTCTCCTGGTCCTGCCCGGTGGGAAGCGCTGCCAGGCTCTGCCTGCGAACACCCACCCCGGAGCCTCTCCCCTCCTCGCTGGCCCCAGCAAGGAAAAACTTCTGACACCCAAGGGTGCTTCTGGAAGTCCCCGCAGACGAACGGGGGTTTTCAGCTCGCAGCACAGCGGGGACACCGGGAGAGCACCTGGGAGGAGCAGAGCCTGCTCAGGACCTGAGCAAAGGAAACAGAAATGGGAGTTCCCCCTCATCTATAGCGACTCCCGCAACCACCAGCTGTCTTTAAATGACCATTAGCACAGGTGCCAGCAATGCCACGGCTCCGGGCTCTATAAATAACAGCCAGAGTCTAGGCTGGCTGGGGTTTGGGGGTTGGGGGCAGATGCTGTTGCTGGAGAAGGGGAGGCTCAAGCTAGCTAGTTTAAAAATTGAGACAGACTGAAGAAGTAGAGGTGAGGCTACTCCAGAATTTTCTTACAGAGCTCTGTGTGTTTCTGAGTAGGGCTTGTTTCACTTCTGAAAGCATAGCTTGCGTGCAGAGCTGGGCTCTCTGCTGCTGGTGTGGCTGGGCAGAGCCATGGTCCCCTGCAGAGCTGCTGGGGTGTGAGTAGCTTGCTAAGAGAGCAGCTGATGTGAATAGGAAAAAACCTTTAATTATAATTTCTGAAGTTATTTCAGAGATGAACCTGAGCTCTATGCACAAACTTTAGCTGCCCTAAGGCAAGGCAGCCTAAAAGTTAGGGTTTTGGGGGGGCAAACCTAGGGGTTTGGAGGGCAGCTCTAAAAGGGATTGCATGCAGTTTTACCCCAAGGAGAAGGTCTCTAATGCTGTGTTGGAGAAAAGCTCAGGTCCTGGGTGCTAAGCACAGCTATCTCTGCAACCCTGTTGTTGCTCTAGAGATACTGGAGCTTATCCTGGGATTTTCTGGAGGGTAATTTTACTATGGACCTTGCCAGCTCTCTGCAAGATCCTGGATTAGAAGGTGGCTTAGAGCCACGAGGTAAGGTGGGATCCTAGGACTGGGTTTGGCTAGACTGATCAGCCAATGCTCGCAGTTGGGGTTGCAGGATGGAAAAAAGAAGGTGCACGGGGGGGTCTTCGCTGCCCTGCGGGCGGGGAGAGCTCTGTCCCCCCACCCTTGCTGCAGGGGAAGCCCGGGGGCTGTCCCCCTCCCCTCAAGTCCTCCTGGGACTTGCATTTCCCTAGGAAAAGCTTTTTTTTTTTTTTTGCTTTCTCAGCCGAGGCCTGAAGAGGGCCCCCCGCACCCGCTGCTGAGGCTGCCAGCCCCGCAGGGGCTAGCCCAGAGCGCGTTAACACATCTGCTCCAGCTGCAGGAGCCACAGGGATAAGGTAACTCCCGGGGCTGGCACCCCTGTCCTGGGCAGCTGCTCTTCTTCCCTGCCAGCACGGTGTAATCACCGATACCCTGTCCCAAAAATGCAGACCAAGGGGAGCTCAGGTCACTCTTAGCTCTGCCTTGAACATTAGCAGCACCAAACACAATTTTATGTTGTAACTTAGTTTACTTGAAGTACCTGCAATGCTGCTGCTGCTTGTGAAAATGAAGAATTTATTCTGAATAACTTGAGAAAGGCTGTGCTATATACACCACAAGTACTGAAACGAAGCAAGCTGACCCTTTCCCCTATACTTAAAGCAATGTGGGAAGGGGTTTCTGGCATGTTAGTCCATGCGAGTCCTAGAAAAGCCATGGTATGGAGTCTCTTTAAGGCAGAGATGGCCTCTTACACCCTCCACTGATGTGGTCCTTGGCCCTACCTCCAGGCAGGTGAAGGTGTTTGAGCTGCCTGCAACTGCTGTGCAGGTGATGTGCTGCAAAGGGACCTCCAAACTGCTTTGCAATTGCCTCCTGCCTGGGTACCAGGGACTGAACAGTGCTGTTGGTGAGGGGGAATAAAATAGGAGACCCGAGCAGGGCAGTCTTGTGCCCGTTCTTGCTGCGTAAGATCCACAAGCTCCAATCCAGATCACCAGTGTTAAAGATAACTGACTTTTTTTTCTCCGGCAGAGCTTCAGTGTGGATGCATATTGTTTGCTATAGCTCAGTTCTGCGGCATAAGCCTGATTGGAGCAACTGAGCTGATAACGGTCAGCCTGTGCTCCCCTCGGTCGTTTCCCCATCCCTATTGCCAGTTCCCCTGTTTGCTTTTTAACTGGGATGCTTGAGGGTACACGTGGGAAAGCAAGGCCTGCGTTTTGGGGGAGATAAGTCACAAAGCAGAATTCCTGATTGACTGTGACCCCTGGGAAACAGCGGGGTTTGAAAGGCTCAGCTCTTTTGGAGCTCAGTGCTGCTCTGTCTACTGGTGTCACTCAAGTTGAGACCTGAGACACTCGTCACAGCAGTGGGCCAGTACACTGCGGGTCAGATGGCTGTGTTAGTCTGTGCTGGTGGACTGCCAAATGAGGGGAGGTGGACATGAGAGGGATTTCCAGCAGGGTGGGCTCCCAAAGACCCTGCGAGGAAGAGGCAGCACTGGGTGAGAATCTGCTTTCTGTCCCAGGGTGTTCTGGAAGGTGCTGGGTGCTGCCGCAGCTGCTGGCATGGGGCCGCTTGTCCCCAAGGCTCAGCTGTCTCATGCTTCCCTAAATAGAAAGGGAAAAGGGTCTGAGCACTGCGACGGGGGTCAGCCGTTCCAGCCGTGGACTTTTTTGTCATGAAACCCACTGGGATTTGCCCCGGCGGGTGGGAGAGGGTCCCCTCTCGCTGCAGAGGGGTGCTGCCCGCTTGCACGCAGGTGCCCCCCCGAGCTGGGCTGGCTGCCGGGGGCCCTGGCTCGCAGCCTTCCCCAGGCGCTATATAGGACGGGGGGGACGAGGAGGGGGACAGGCTGCGGTGGCAGGTGACGCTGAC